TGTCTTGGGCCATCTTGAGGCCATCTAAGGCCGTCTTGTGTGCATATTGGGCCGTCTTGGAGGCATGATGGGGCCATCTTAGCCGTCTTGGAGGCCGTCTTGGCCGTCTTCGAGACATCTTGGAGGCCATCTTGGGCCATCGAGGCCGTCTTCGAGGCCATCGAAGGCGTCTTGGGGGCATCTTGGGCCGTCTTGGGGCCCTCTTGGGGCCGTCTTGGGGGCCTCTTGGGCCGTCACGGGGCCATTCAAGAGGCCTCTTGGGGGATCTTGGGGCGAACTTGGGGGCCTCTTGGGCCGTCTTGGGCCGTCGGAAGGCCGAAAAGGCGCAAATGCCCAAATGCTTCAAAAACATATGGAAAATCAATAATGTTGGCCTCTTCGGGCCTTCCTCGAGGACCTCTTGGAGGCCTCTTGGAGGCCGCGTTGTTTTCGTTCCCCCTCGTTCCTCTTCCTCCTCCTCCTCGCCCTCCGCCTCCGCCTCCTTGTCCGAGTCGTGTCTCGGCCACAGTCGCCAGACAGCCCGGACAGCAGCCGCGCCGCTGAAGCGGCCTGGCGATTCGGCGCACGAGGCGTGGCTCGACTTCGAGCGAGGGCGCCCGGCGGACAGCTTCGGACAGGTCCTCTTTTCGCCCACGCCCGCTGGACAGCTTCGCACAGGAGCCCGTTTCTTTATTGCTTGGGGCATGACGGGCGTCATGGCCCCCGCTCCCCCCCCCCCTATGACGTAACGCTCCCCCCCCAGTGCGCTCCGGGCACTGCCGCCGTGCGCATTGGGATCCGCGTAGGTGTCCGCGTAGGAATCCGCATAGGTGTCTGGTCCGCAGTCGTCGTCGTCGTCGTCGTCGTCGTCGTCGTCGTCGTCGTCGTCGTCGTCCGTCGTCGTCGCTCGTGGTTCGTCGCTCGTCGCTCATCGTCGTCGTGCGCGCGGACGCGGCTGGAGCCTGTCTTTTAGTCGGGGCCGATGACGGCAATCATCTGGGGGGGGAGGGGGTCGATGACGTCACGCTTCGCGCCGGCGGCGTCTGGGAATGCTTAAGAATGACGGAGGACGGGTAGCACGAACATGTAGGTGGCGATATGCACCACAACGCCCGTGTACATCACAGTGCCCGCGTGCACCGCAGCGCCTGTGTACACCACACCGCCGATGTACACCACAGCAGCCGCGTGCAACACAGCGTCAGTTTGTGCCACCGTGCCTGCGGGCACAGCAGCTCCTGCGTACACCACAGCGCCTCCGTACCCCACATCAACCAAGCGCAACAAGGCACCAGTGTACACCACAATGCCTGCGTGCATTGCAGTGCCTGAGTACGCCACGGCGCCCGTGTGCACCACATCAGCCGTGCGCAACACAGCACCATTGTTGTGTATAGAATTTCAGAAAAGATCCTTGAGACAAAATGGAGCGCGTTTGGATTCCAGATACAACCATGGAAAACAAATCCTCATGGACAAAGGAACGCCGCTGGAATCTACGAGTCCCCCCGACTCCGCCCGCATCACCCTAACTCTCATTTGCGTCCAGGAGGCTCCAGCTAAACTGGCCGTCCGAGAACCAAGTGGACCGATTCAATCGACCATTCTGCGGTGCACGCTGAGATGCGCACGTGCGTTGTAACGCCAATCCGTACGACAGGGGGTAAGAAGGAGGAAAAGGAGGAGGAGGAGGAGGAGGAGGAGGAGGAGGAGGAAAAAAAAAAACGTCGCACTCGATTATCCGAACTTTCCTGGCGTGGCGTTTAGTTGTCTGCAGCAGATCCTGACGTACATGCTCCTTCTACCTGTCCTGTGCACGCAGGCACTGTGGTGTACACCAGCGCTGCGTTGCACGCGGATGCTGTGGTGTAGACAGGCGCCGTGGCGTGCACAGGCGCTGCGGTGCACGCAAGCAATGTGGTGTACACAGGCATTGTGTTGCACATGGCTGCTGCTGTGTATGTACACTGGCGCTGTAGTGCTCCCAAGTATTGTGGTATACGCGGGCGGTGCGTTGCACACGGCTGTTGCGGTGTACGCACGCACTGTGGTGCACACGCGCGGTGTGGTGCACGCGAGCGCTGTGGTGTACACAGGTGCAATGGGCAGATCGCCACTTACATGCTGCTCGCGTCGTCGTCGTCGATCGTCGCTCGTCGCGTCTTGCGCGCGGGCGCGGCTGTGGTGCCGGAGCCACTCGGCGGGGGGGGGGTCACGTCATACCCCCCCCCACCCTCCCCCCTCCCATGACGCCCGTCATCGCCGAACATAAAGAAACGCGCTCCAGCTACCGCCGCGGCACGCTTTTGGCGTGTCGGGTTGACACGTTTGAGGGGCCTCTTGGGCCCATCTGAGGCCGTCTTGGGTGCATTTTGGGCCGTCTTGGAGGCATCTTGGGGCCATCTTAGCCGTCTTGGAGGCCATCTTTGCCGTCTTCGAGGCCATCTTGGGCCAACTTGGCCGTCTTGGAGGCCATCTTGGGCGTTTTGGGGCCCTCTTGGGCCATCTTGGGGCCCTCTTGGGGCCGTCTTGGGGGCCTCTTGGGCCGTCATGGGGCCATCTTGGAGGCCTCTTGGGCGATCTTGGGGTGACCTTGGGGGCCTCTTGGGCGTCTTGGGCCCTCTGAAAGCCGAAAAGGCGCAAATGCCAAAATCCTTTTCATTAAAACACCTAAGGAAAATCAATGAGTTGGGCCTCTTCGGGCCCTCCTGGAGGACCTCTTGGGGGCCTCCTGGGCCGTATCGGAGGCCTCTTCGGGGCCTCTGGGGCCGTCTTGGGCCATGTTGATGCCATCCCAGGCCGTCTTGGGTGCATCTTGGCTCGTCTTGGAGGCATCTTGGAGCCATCTTAGCCGTCTTGGATGCCATTTTGGCCGTCTTGGATGCATCTGGGAGGCCATATCGTGCCGTCTTGGAGCCATCTGGAGAGAAAAATCCTTTGCAACCGGGTCCGGGCAATCTTCCCTGGACCACGGCGGGACGGGCCGAAGCCCCAGGGGGAGTTCTTTTGGAAAAGAACTACAACTAAAACCGTAACAATTTGACACGCCAGGCACCCACCGATGAATCGACAGGGGGCGGCGGATGTTATGGCATTCGGCCCATCCCGCCACCGTGCTTGGGTTGTGGGCATGAAGCGCGTTGGACGCTCGTTGGGATATCGTGGGAGGCCTTTCGGGGGCCTCTCTGGGGGCCTCTTTTGGGCCTCTTGGGGGTCTCTTTGGGGCCTCTTGCGGCGTCTTGGGGCCTCTCGGGGGCCTCTTCGGGACCCAATTGACACAGGCAATCTCATGCAGTGTGTCATCATCTTTATTAACGTTCAGCTCACGGGGCTGAAGCAGCCAGCGGCCACACCTCCCCCCCTTGTGGCAGGATAGCGGCGCCTGCCCAGCTCTGGCAGGCCTCTGGCAAAGGGGAAGGGTGAGCGGGTTGCGGGCAGCCCGCTTCAGGACTGCGCTGTGGTCCGCGACGCCACAAGATTCTCGACCATCGCTAACCTCGGCCGCTTCTCTCGCCTGAGCACCTCGCCCAGCGGCGCCATTGCTGGCGCGCCGCACGCGCCCTCCCCAGGCCAGTGGCGGTGCAGGCACTTCCATAGCGCCCGCTCCTAGGACTTAGCGGACTCAATGCCGCGTTTTCCCAGGCTCCGCCTCTGCAAGCTTCGAGCCGCAGCCCCCCGCTCTCTGTCTGCCCAGCTCGCCGTGCCAAACGCCAATGTCAGGCGTTGAAAGCTTGAGCCCAAACGGTCACCGTCATGCTGACCATAGATAGTCATTGGCGATCGATTGTGGGCAGGTGCCGATGGTGAAGGAGTGTTTTCGATGACGGCGGTAACGATGACGACTTATGATGATGACGACTTGGATGATGTTGCTGGCGATACGATACTTATTATGATTGCGACGGTGGCCATGATGATGATGAGGATGATGATGATGTCGATGATTGTGATGATGGAGATGATGATGGAAATGATGATGATGCTGATGATGAGGATGAGGATGAGGATGATGAGGATGAGGATGAGGATGATGATGATGAGGATGAGGATGAGGATAATGATGATGATGCTGATTCTGATTATGATGATGCATGATGCTGATGCTGATGCTGATGCTGATGCTGATGATGATGCTGATGATGATGCTGATGATGATTATGATGATGATAATGCTGCTGCTGCTGATGATGATGATGCTGCTGCTGATGATGATGCTGCTGATGATGGTGATGGTGATGATGATGATGATGATGATGATGATGATGATGATGATGATGATGATGATGATGATGATGATGATGATGATGATGATGATGATGATGATGATGATGCCTGATGATGATGATGATGATGATGGATGATGATGATGATGATGATGATGATGATGATGATGATGATGATGATGATGATGATGATGATGATGATGATGATGATGATGACGATGCGATGACGATGACGATGATGATGATGTGTGATGATGGTGATGGTGATGATGGTGATGGTGATGGTGATGGATGGAGGGGTGGTGGTGGTGATGCTGAGTGCTGGATGATGATGATGATGCTGATGGTGATGGTGATGATGGATGGACGACTGATGATGATGATGATGATGATGATGATGATGATGATGATGCTGATGCTGATGCTGATGCTGATGATGATGATGATGATGCTGATGATGATGATGATGATGATGATGATGATGATGATGATGATGATGATGATGATGATGATGATGATGATGATGATGATGATGACGGCGACGACGACGACGATGACGGTGGTGGTGGTGGTGAGGAGGAGGAGGAGGAGGAGGATGTGGAGGAGTGGGGGCGCAGGCTTGTCTTCTTTGACCATGTATGTGTCTTCTGTTCTCCTCCGCATCGAGCATCTGTCCCGACCCCCCTCTCGTGCCTGGCCTCATTCTGGCCCCCCTCGATGCCTCGTTCTCCCACTCCCCTGTCCTCTTGTTCTTTGTTATTCGCATCATCGGCCTCATCCTTGCATCTGTTTCCTCAGGCGCTCAGTGGCGCTGGCTGCCTTGATGCAATGAGGCGCCTCGCGCCAGCTACGAGTGGGATAAGGATGAGGGCAAGCAGGAGGAGGAGGAGGAGGAGCAGGAGGAGGAGGGAGGAGGAGGAGGAGGAGGAGAATTCAGATTCAAAGAGCGTCTCTGAAGTAGGGCTTGTGTGCCATCTTCATGCGCTCAGGCACCACCTTCGGGCTGAATCTGGGAAGCAAAGTGCCGCTCGTAAGGAGGTGGCACGGCGGGTGCATGCGGGTCGATCTGACGGTGTTTTGGCGATTTCGTGGTTCGTTTTCGTTCCGATGTTGTTTTGCAGCAGCGGCGGCTTGGAGACAAAAGGAGGGAAACCGAAGACGACATGAAACCGAACAAGAGTGTTTTGGGCGAGCCCTGTTCCCCCACCCCAGCCTCGCCGCGGATCACTACCGAACCATGTGCCCATGGGCGCATTCTGTCGTGCCCGTGGCACGCTGGCGAGGCGAGCCCTGCGCGCTCGCGGCGCGCGGCCGCGGCGCCGACAGCCCGAGCAAGCGTGGCGGCGCGCACAGCAAGGGGGCAGCACGAGGGGGCGGCACTCTGAGAGGGCAGGGGGAGCTTCCGAGAGGGAGGAAGCCCGCCTCGGCTGCCGGGAAGCCCTCGCAGGAGAGGCCCCTCTGGGCCCGTCCGAGGAAGCCCCCGTCTTCCAAGAAGTCCCCCACCCCACCCCGCCTTCTCACCATTCCTTCAGGAAAACGTATGGGTTTAGCAAATTCGTTATTTGGTCTTACCAGCGTCCAAGACGTCCCAAGAGGCCGTGGAGATCGCCCCAAGATGGCCCAAGAGGCGGGATTGAGAACTGGCGACGGCGACGACGACGAAGAAGACGACAGCGTCTCATACACGGGATCGGCTGATTTTCGCTTTTATACCATGCGGGTAAGTCTCTCACTTTCGCCCGTTGTCAACATTTTATAGGTGGCGGGTCACCGATTCGATCGATGCGTTGTTCGAATTCTGAGACGTGGTTTCCTTTGAAGACTGCTGTTATCGTTGTTGATTGTTGTGTTATCGATTCCACAAGAGTGTGCCGCGAATACTATACTCGGGCACCCCAGAGAAGAAGGGAGGGCGTCAGAGGGTCGGACACTTGCCCGTTGGCGCCCAGATATGTGGGAGCGCCCCCTGCGAACAGGTGGCTTTTGGAAGTTAGACATGTGTTTTGAGGCCGTGAAAATCGCGGTGTAGCAGTCATCTCCTTTGGGCGCCACAGGGGGAGGCGCCAATGGGTACATCACGGGTGCGTTCGCGCCAACATTGTGGGGACATGTCAATTGAAGCATTCGTTTTGGGAATATCGATGCGTCTCTTTTTAGCGCCACGCAGTCGCCGCGGCGGCGTAGTAGACATACGACGTGGGCACCACAAGAGCTAGCCGCCAAGGCCGCAGGACACTTGCGCGTGAGTGCCCAGATAGTGGGGATATACCACGCGACGCGCTTGCTGTTGAGAGGAAAACGTGTCTCTGTTCAGGGCTGCGTGATAGTTGCGATGTGATGGCGTGTAAGACACTTACCCATTGGCGCCCAGCTTGTGGGGATTGCCTCAAACGGAACTCTGGCTTATATGTTTCGATTGTGTTTATCATTGTTCAGGGTTGCCTGGTTGTCGTGATGTAAGTCCACCGGATGGGTGACGCGGCTCAGATTCCCCGGCCGCGCGTTTGCCGCCTCCGCTTTCCTGGCTGGGCTCTCTTCCCGCCTTCTGTGATGGGCACACTTCCAGTAGAGTGGGCGGGGCTGTCGGCCCATGCGCCTGACCCAGGTGGCCACTGGTCCTAAAGAGGGAGTTGTGCCTGCGTCGCGGATTCAGCAGAGGGAGGGAGGGAGGGGGGCGAGGGCAAGGACGAGGACGAGGACGAGGACGCGGAGGAGGAGGACGAGGAGGAGGGCGTGAACGAGTCTCCCCTGTCCCCCCCCCGCGAGCCTCACCATGAGCACGGCCCTGTACATGCGCTTCTGGCTGGAGTTCCTCAACTTGTCGTGGGGAGGCCGGCCCAGCCCTCCGCTGCGCTGCGCTATCCTCTGCCCGCATATGCCTCGGGGGTAACGCTGGAAGGGAGGGCAGGTTCGACTAGGCGTACAGGCGACCTTAAGTGCGGGCCCAACGGGGTCCCCCGATCGCTGAACGCGAAGCGGCAGCAGTGGCTTGCGCGCCTGCGTTCCCCGCACCAAAGGTCGCTCTTGCTTGGGGTTACTCCTGCGAGTAGCCGATAGGTCATGCTGGAAAAAATGGCAAATGCACATAAATTTAGTTTGTCACAGGAATCGGGGAGTTGTGAGACGTGGAAGCGAAGAAAAGACTCCAGAAAGTAAGGGGATCCTGGCGCTTGTGCCGGTTTATGTGTGTCTTCCTCGGCCCCTTCAGTATGCTCAGGAGGTTCCTAGGTTTTCGAGGTTCTCGGACGTTTTCGTCGGCTCTCGGCGGTCCTCCGGCCCTGGGATGACCTCCAGCGGTTGCGCCTCGCCGAGAGCATTTTGGGGGTTCCTGGACCGTCCCCAACGGCCGCCGGAGACCCCAGGGCAGGGATAGGCTCAGGAGGGAGTGCATCGTCGCCGATTCCAGGCTTCCCCTCGCCCCAAGCTCCAGAACCCGTTTTGACGCCGTAGGGAGGCTAGAAACGTCCGAGAACTTCCATGTCCTCCACTGGCCCTCGCCAGCCCCTCGAGACCCAGGCCGAAGACCTCGTGACACTCCGTCCTCGATCCTCCTCCACCTCCTGGAGAGAGCCCCAGGCTCCAGGACCCGTTTTTGCCAGAGCCCCTCTCATCCGTGCCAGCCCTCCGTTCCGTCTTCGTTTTTCGGCCCCCCCAGAGGCGCAGGAGGAGGAGGAGGAGGCGGAGGAGGATCGAGGATCGAATACGGTATATCGAGGTCTTCTGCCAGGATCTCGAGGGGCCGGCCGATGATTGAGAGGACCCTGAAGTTTTCAGTGTTTCTGGCTTTTCGCGGCCTCCGAGGGCTTGAGAGGCCTCGGGGGTCCTCTGGTGACCTCTGAAAACCTCTACAGTCTAGAGACCCTCCGAGACCTCATGGGATCTGGATTTCAGGGAGGAGGATAGGATGAGGAGGAGCAGGATAACAAGGGATATGGGGAAGAGGGATGGGGGAGAGAGGGCAAGAGAGAGGATAAGCCAGCTGGACGGAGGGACGAGAGATGATGGACGACGGGGGAGGAGGGAGGGAGGAGGGAGGCGAGAGGGGGGAGGAGGGAGGACGTAAGATGGAGGAGATGTGAGGGAGGAACGGAGAGGTGCGGTGGAAGGAGTGTGGAGCACGGAGAAAGAAGGAGGGAGGCTGGTCCTTGCTCCCGCTGTTCCCCCCCCCCCGCGCTCATCTCTCCTTCTCCGCCTCTCTGTCCCACACCCTTTAAGGAGGAGGAGGAGGAGGAGGAGGAGGAGGAGGAGGAGGAGGAGGAGGAGGAGGAGGGGAAGAAGGAGGAGAGGGAGGAGGAGGAGGAGCCCGAGGATCGAGGGTCGACTCGTCGACTCCTCTTCCGTACCCCCCCCTCTTTGCTCAGGACGTTTTGTGCTCATGGCCAGCCCTGGGGCGCCGCGCCACCCCTGGTGCATGCTCCGCCCGCCGTCGCGTGGGTCAGGGCGCCTCGAAGCTGGAGCCCGAGCCGTGAGATGACGAGGCGCTTTCCCCAGAGATCCAGTGCTCCTCAAAACTTGAGCTTCGGCGTCTTGTCCGTGTTCGGCCTCCGGAGGCCCTATCCGGGCATCCGGGCCGTCAAACATCGACGCAGGACAAAAGACCGGCCCTAGGGAAGTAGTCCAGACCTCCGGGGCCCGCGCATCGAACAATTGAAGCAGCCGGATGTTTGGGTCTGTGCGTCAGTTCGGATCCAGCGTGTCCCGCCCGTAGCCCGACCAGCGTCTGAACCTGTTTTGACTCGCCTGCGCCCGCTGACTCCGGAATGTCGGGAGTCTCTCAATGCGCGGTTTGGGCCTGTTCCCCAGGTTGCCTGAAGGTCCAGGGGTCTGATGAAGGGCCCCCCCTTTCCGCGGGCGACTTGTGTGCACCGTGCCGCGTTGGTGTCTCCCGAGGCGTCGTCGATCCTCGGAGCAGGAGTGGTGCAGTGCACAGTTTCTCGGCCCTCGGGGCCGATCGGCTAGGCACCGCACCGCGCTGCAGCAAGGCCTCACGGGAGTCCGCGGCGCATGGGCGCCGATCTCGTCAGGAGGCCGAGCTCAGCGAAAAGCTTCTGCGTCGAGTTCCTCGAAACGCTGGAGCTCGGGGGCCTCCGCGGGCAGAGGGCCAGCGAGCGCGCGCCGCCGTGGGGGCCGCGCCAGCCCGAGGCGCGCGGGCGCGGCAGGCCCGCGGAGGCGAGCCGAGGACTGGCCGCCAGCGCAGAGCGGGACGCGCGCCCGCGGCTTGCGGAGCCCTTCCGGGCGGGCGCGGCCGCGATGCCCGCCGCGGCCCGCGCCGCCTGCGGAAGTGGCGGCCGCCGCTCGCGCCGCCGTGCGCGGCCGCGGGCGGGCGGCCCGACCGGCGCGGCGGCAGCCGGGCGCCGGTGCCGCGCGCGCGCGAGGCGGCGGCTTCGGGCGGCGCCGCATGCGGGAGGCGGCGGGCGCGGGCGGCGCCGACGGCGCGCGCTGCCGGGGGCGTCGCTCGGGGCGTGCCGTGCCCGGTGCGGCCTGCTGGAGCCGAGCGGCGAGCGGGGGCCCGCCGCCGCCCCCGGCGCCGCTGCCTGCCGCTGGGGGGCCCGTGCTGGAGTTGTGCCTTCGGGTTGCTCGGGCCAGGCGGCTGCCGGTGAGACATCTCCGCGGCCCCCTGCTGGAAGCTGCGGCGTGTTCTGGGGGCGTTTTCCTGCTCGTTCCCAACTCGTGGGCCGCAAGCGTTTGCGCAGCTCCTTCGCAACGTTCCGAGGCTCGTGCGCAGCTCCCGGGCAGCACCTCCGTTCTAAGCAGCGCTCTCGCAGGCATTGTGGTGTGCTGCCCAAGGAAGCGCCCTGGCAGGCAGCTTCGGTCGCCTCAGGGAAGCGCCCTGGCAGGTACTTGTGGGCGTTTCATGGAAGCGTTCTGGCAGGTATTCGGGCGCCTCTGGTAAGCGTCCTGGCAGGCACTTTCGGCGTCTGAGGGAGACGCCCTGCCATTTCCTGGCTGCGCGTCGTGCCACTGGAGGCTTCGGTCGAGCAGGTCAAGGAGGCTGCTGGAGCCAGGCCATGGCGTGGCATCTGGACAAGACATGCCATCGCCTGGGGGAGACGACCGAGCGCTTCAATCAACGAGGCGTTCGGCACGCTCTACGACTCGCGAAAGCGGGAGGCGTATGACAGGTGCAGACGAAGGGCACGGTCAGGTGGGCAAACTTCGCCGACGAGGTCGACGAGACCCCCGCACCGTTGGGCTACCAGTGCGAAGGGACGCCATGGTGCGGGACGTGTTGATGTACGGCCGCATCGACGACGATCCATACCAGTTGGTGCAGGAGAGAACTCCCCGAGCGAACCTCTGAGGAAAAGCGAGATCTCCTGGCGAGTCATGGGCGAGATGGCGTACGAGGCAAGATCATCACTGTACAACGACAACTGGTTGCCAGCCTTCATTGCCAGCGCCTGGGATAACAGACCATCCTTGTGGCCGTCTGTCCGAGAGCTGCACGCCATGACTGATACGTCGCAGCAAGAGTGAAAGGAGCGACAAATGGCTTACACCCAGAGGAAGCAGAAGCGGATGAGCTGGCTGAGGCGGATGATGATTACTTCGCGCAGTCAAAAGGTGTCCGAACGCGCGGGTCAAAAAAGGGGCTGGGCCCCCGATGCCCGATCGCTGTTTCTCCAATTGGGGTAGTGGCCGCTGCTCCCCCCAGCGGAGGGTTGGACGCGCTGGGAACAACTCTTGCCATCTTCCTCTTGCGATCCCCGCCTCGGCCCCCGGTCCTCGGGGCAAGTGCGCCACCTATGCACCAGAGCCAATCCTGAGCCCCGACCCAGGGGTTTGGCTCTGGCCTGGGCCACTGTCGGTGTGCAATTCGTGTTTGCACCTGCTTGCCTCGTGCCCGTCGGCCTCCTCCTCCTCCTCCTCCTCCTCCTCCTCCTCCTCCTCCTCCCGGGGCGCAGACTACATCATCTTCAAGCCTCGCCAGTACACCTACTCGAACACAGGACTGCCTGGGTGGATGGCTGGGGATCAGAAGGCTGGTTCTCCTGCCCCGATCGTGCAGAGGACTGGACGGAAGGGGAGGGGGGAGGGAGGAAAGGAGGAGGGAACGGAGTATGAAAAAAAGGGCTTCAGGGAGGTTAGGTGTTTCTCGGATAGTGTGGTGGGGCTTCTGTGGGCAGGGGGGAAATGAGGGGGAGGAGAAGGAAGAGGAGCAAGAGGCGGGAGGAAAAGGAGGATCAGGAGGAATAGGAGGAGGAGGAGGACCAGTGTAAACCCAAGAGTCCAACGATGTTGGAGTAAACCTTCCCTCCAAGCACCCTCTACATCGGCCCCTACAACGGTTCATTTCCACAGAGGGAACTGCCTCGTTGGAAGACACCCGTTTGAAGACCCTGAAGCATGCCGAGAAATGGTTCTCGGGATTTCGACGCCACGGATCAATCTGATTCTTGCGTCTTGACGATCCAGAGTCGTGCCAGAACGCCATCCTTGGGACTTCAACCTCGCGAATCAACGTAATCGTTGCACCCTCATAATCATGAACCATTCCAACACAGTATTTTCTGATACGCTGATCATGGTAACCCGTGAACCTCTTGCATTTGTTAAAACGAATGTGCGCGGCGTTTCGGCGAGAGCCACATTATGAAAAGGAGCCGCCCTCAATCCGTGAAGCTCTTGTAGTTTTCGAAAGCGAATGCACGCGGCGCTGAGGCGAGAACCACATTCTGAAAAGGAGCCGCCCTCGATCCGTCAAACCCTTGCAACTTTTTAAAAACCGAATGTGCGCGGCGCTAAGGCGAGAGTCACATGTTGAAAACGATGCGCCCTCAATCCGTGAAGCTCTTGCAGATGTTTAAGCCGAATGTGCGAGAGCCACATTAAAAAAAAACGACCCGCCCTCCAAATGTGAAGCTGTCGGTAAGTTTAAGCAGGAGGAGGAGGAGGAGGAGGAGGAGGAGGAGGAGAAGGAGGAGGAGGGAGGCGGGACCAGTGTAAACCCTAGATCCATCAACGATGTTGAAATACAGCCTCCTTCCAAAATCCCTCTTCATAGACCCCCAGAAGGGGTCATTTCCACTGCTGGACTTACTTCGTTCGGGGAGAACCGTGTGAACATCTTGAAGCGTGCCAAACCGTTTCAGGACTTCGACGCCACGAGTTAGCTTGGCTGCTACATTTTGGCGATCCTGGATCGCGCCAGACCACTATTTCTGGAATTCCAATAGCGACAATCAATGGAACGGTTGCGCCCTGACAATCCTGAATGGTTCCCCAAAAAAGCAATTTCTGGTACGCCAATCATGAGAACCAGTGAAACCCTTGCCAGTGTTTAAGACAAGTGCGCGC